GCTACTCTTCCTACCAGGAATCTGGAGAGGAAATAACTAGGCACAACTTGTCTCCACTTCTGAAATGCCTGGGGTCCCACGTCAGAAGAGCTGGGAACTTTAGCATCTCTTTACTTCCCTCTACACAACTTGTGTATATGGTCCAGCTTGGCCTTCCTCACAACATGGCAGCCACAGGATAGTAACACTTTTACAAAGAAGCTCAATGCCACAAGAGACAAGAAGTAGAAGGTTCCAGTATCTAAGGCCTGGTCCTGGAAACTGGCACATAGTCACTTCAGCCAAATTCTCTTGACCAAAGCAATCACAAAGCCACCCAGATTCAAGAAAGGGTGACACCAACCACACCTAACAGGACTAACATTAAAGAATCAGTGGTCATCTCCAACCCTCTACAAGGGCAACCAGGAAAGAGAAAGCCTCGGAAACCAGTGACTGGACTACCCAGGATATGGAAAGGATATACTGAGGGAACCATCCAGGCTGAAGCCACAGAAGGAGACCTCCAGGGCAGCGTGCCCATGGGTGCTGGGGCAATAGAACTGCCAGCTCTACAGATTCGACAACATAGAGATGAATGGAACTGTTCCATCATGACAGACCTGCTCTGTGTGATCCATCTCATTTCGTCTAGTGTGGAGGTTAGGGAGTGATGCATTGGTAGAAAGCTCAGCAAATAAATAAAAGGTTCCAAAGAAATCAAAAAATTTGTGGCAGAAAAGAAATGAAATATGGCATACCTTGGAGCATAGCTAGGAATACTATTTACATAGTTTTTTTAAGGTTTATTTTATTCATTTGAAAGACAGAGAGAGAGAGAGAGAGAGAGAGATCTTCCATCTGCTGATTCACTCCCCAAATGACCACAATGGCCAGAGCTGAACTTATCTGAAGCCAGAAGCCAAGAGCCAGGAGCTTCTTCCTGGTCTCCCCCAGGTGCAGGGGCCTAAGGGCTTGGGCCATCTTCTACTGCTTTCCCCCGCAAATGCAGAGAGCTGCATCAGAAGTGGAACAGGCTGTACCACAGTGCCAGCCCCATTTATGTAGTTTTAACAGTGTGAACCTGCATTCTGATTTTCACAGAACAAGAAGGAAGGAGGTGCTATAGTGAGAAGTCTTCATTTTCCATAGTAGGAAACAAGCATAGAACCCAGAAGTGGTCATTTATGCCAATTATTTAGGTATGTGGAGGTAAGTGACAGAGCAATCAAGTAAAAGGATTGAGAAAGGGTTGCCCACGGGGGAAAGGAACACAAGGAGAGGTAGGGCAGGGTCTGTTCTTGTTTTAAGAAACCTCACAGTGCAATTGTATTAAGTACACTCATACATTAATCAGTGAAAAAAGGAAAGAACAAACCGTATAACAAAACACAATGTGCAATCCTGTCTCAAAAAGAAATGATGTTCACATGTGTATACGAACTCAGAAAAACAGAAACAGAAATGGAAAAAGATCCCACACCAAATGAAAACACGAAAAGTAGCTGGAGACCAATGGCCATTGAACGTTGAATGGAGAAGCAAAATGTGATGTTGTGTGCATACAATGGAATATTATTCGGCCTTCAAAAGGAAGGAAATTTTGACATATGATACAATATAGGTAAACCTTGGAGATACTATGCCAGGTGACAAAAGCCAGTCACAAAGGACAAATATTGTCTAGTTCCATTCATGTGAGATACCCAGCATAGTCAAATTCAGAGAGACAGAAAGTAGATGGTGGTGGTCAGGGGCTTGTGGGGAGTGCGCAGGGTGGGAGTTTAACAGGTGTGGGGTTTTTGTTTGGGAGGACGAAGAGTTCTGAGCTGGATGATGGTGACAGTCGCACAACAGGAGTGTACTTAATGCCACGCTGTTCACTTAAGGACGCTGAAGATGGTAACCTTCATGTAACCTGTTTTTTACCAAAATTTTTTAAAAAGTGCTTGGTAGAGAGACCCCGTTAGGAAACTGTCAAGTTTTCCATATGATTTGACCCTTTGCAATGAGAATGTGTTCGTGAAGCATGCATGTGCAAAAGTAAGACAAATCCTACATGAAAGGAAGAGAAATGTGCATCGCGCTAGGGACGGGGTGAGCAGGGCATGAGAAGGAGGGGGACAGGACAGCCAGAGCAGCACGCGGGAGCCTGAGAGGTGCACGGGCGGCTGTTGGGTTGAGGTTCTCTGCCTTCCTGGGCTGGGGGATGTGTGCCATTCCTGTCCCTGAGCACAAACCCAAAAGGGTTTCCCTTAACAAGAAACAAACTCAAAAACGTCTCAAAAATGTATTTCAGATGTTGCTTTTTTAGAATTCCCCACAGAACCTGATGGGGAGCCTCAAGTCACCCAGAATCATTCTGCTGTCACAACACGCAGCACTCTGTCACACACAAGACAGGGCAGGGATGGCCCTGGGCCACCCAGGGAGCGCCCAGAGTCCGAGGGACGCTTGGTTGTTCAGCCTAGCACCAGGCTGGGGAAGGTGGGGAAGTCATTCCTCAAAAGGCCACCTAAGCTGTGCCCACACAGCTTCTGGGAGCTGAAGTCCCTGTGCAGAGGAGGGCATGGGAAATTGTGCAATTTCATTTGCAGGAATACTGCCAGGCTCTCATGTCCTGGGGATACTTCACCCTGTGCAAACTTCCACTCCACACACACACACACACACACATGGCAGTCCCAGAACCATGCTGCCACAAACCCCACCCACCAACACCTACTTTAACTTAGAAGGCCTGTTTTGGGGGGTAGGGGTGGGAACTAGCCACAGGAAGGCTAACATCCCTCAGTAAATCAGTGAATAGGCAAGTTTTTTTTTTTTCTTCAATCATCTCTGCTCTTCTATGGAGCACTGAACATTAGCAGAACACTAAAACATCCAGAAATCAAGATCACTATCTTCCAACACATAATAAGATTAAATCTGATGGTACAAGGTGAACTTCAAATATGAGCTAGATACCAGAATCTTTAACCACTTGGGGAAAAAAAAAAGAATATAAAAGTTGTCTATGCTCTGAAATTATGAAGTAAAGGAAAGAATGGAGAAGGGTTTGTTAGGAGAATGGGATTTCTGCCTTTTTCCTTTGGTGGGTGCTGTTTTTGGTGTCACAGCACAGCACTGACTACTTCCTTGGCAATCTCTCGGTTAGCTTTCTGGTTTTTTTTTTTTTTAATAAAGATTTATTTATATACTTGAAAGTCAAAGTTACACAGAGAGAGAAGGAGAGGCAGAGAGAGAGAGAGAGAGAGAGAGAGAGAGAGGTCTTCTATCCGATGGTTCACTCCCCAATTGGCCGCAACGGCTGGAGCTTTGCAGGTTCGAAGCCAGGAGCCAGGAGCCTCCTCCAGGTCTCCCGTGCGGGTGCAGGGGCCCAAGGACTTCAGCCATCTTCTACTGCTTTCCCAGGCCACAGCAGAGAGGTGGATCATAAGTAGAGCAGCCAGGACTCGAACTGCCGCCCATATGGGATGCCACCCGCTATGCCACAGCACTGGAACCTCGGCTAAGTTTCACAGCGACCCAGCAGCACAGAGATTATGCACATTCTGTGGATGGGCAAACACGAGCTGGGGGAGGGGAAGAGGCCCCGGATGCCAGTCCCACACTGTCTTTCCCAGCCCTCTGGAGGTCACACAACTCACAAGCATGTGCCTTCTCCTTGGCCCAGATCCACAGTTTGGGTTAGAATTCTGTTCCATGTTTTAATCTGTAACTATCCAAATTGAAAAGGCAAAGAGGCCATAGCCTAGGAACGAACTAGAAAAACTCGGAACCACAGGAGCAGGTACAGGAATAAAGACAGTGACATAGCACAGCTGTCCTCCGACGTCCTGGCTTCAGAACTCTGCACGTTGAGAACCGACAGAGGTCCCCTAAGGGCTTTCATCCTGGTGGGTTCTATCTATTGATATTTATCATATTAAAATTAATAAAAATTTCATAAATTCATTATGGGTAATTTGTTAAAATAACTTTTCCGAAAGAAAACAAAATAAAAATTTCGGAAAGAGAGTAGCATCGTTCCGCATGTTCCCGACTGCCTTCAGTGTCCGCGTTAATGGCAGACCGCGGGATCCTCCCGTGTGCTGGTGCGGTTTATCTGCGGGAATACTACACATCCTGCAGACCAGAAGCTGCCTCAGCTCGCTGCAGGGAGAAGCAAAATGAAGCAATGGTTTCGGGTGCCCTAGGGGTCCCCGTTGTAGCACATCTGAGAGCCACGACTTAAAGAACTAAGTGTGCCAGAGGGGGCCAGAGACATGGGGGCGCCAGGACACACCCACCAGACCTCACCCCGCCTAAGCCCCCAGCCCGGGACAAGGCAGCCCCGGAGCAGGAACCCTCCAAGGACACTCTGAATCTCCCTCTCAGCCCAGCTCGTCCTGGCCAGAGAAACTAAACGGGGCTCCCCGGGCGTGGGCGAGGAGCTGCCGGGCAGAGCCAGGGAGAAGAGGCCCACCGCCAGCGCCAAGCTGCGGTCGGGACCCACCGGGCCCGAGCCACTCCTGCACCTGTAAACCGCAGCCGCACCAACTGCTGCCCACTTCTCAGCGATGGCCAAGACCTGCACACCACCGCCTCTCACCGCCAAGGCACCACGCCGCCGCCGCCGCGCCGTCCACTCGGCGCACTGGCCTCGGTGGCCCTGGGACCTGTCCCCAGCGCTGACCGCAGCCCAGCTTGCCCGCCCCTTCTCCGCAACACGGCGGGGCAGGGACTCTAGAAACAGGTTTGGAAGCCAGGCCGACGTTTCCAGCCACGACTGCTTCCACGGAGCCCGCGCCAGCCGCTGCGGGACCCACCGGTCACCAGGACTCCGAGGCAGCTCGGAAGCGAAGGCCACCCCTCTAAGGGCCGGGGAGGAGGGCGCGCCAAACCCTGAGGCGAGGGCCTGGCCTGGCCCCAGCGCCGCGCACTCCCGCCTCGCCCTCGGGCGGTGCCCGTGGGGACGCGGGTTCTGCGTGCACAAGGCCCCGTGGCGGGCGCGGGCAGGGGGCGCCGCGGCGCGGTACCTGTGCCGGAAGAGCGGGCAGCCGCCCAGGAGCCTGCTCAGTTCGTTCTTGAGGCCCCAGAACTTGCCGTCCAGGTAGCGGTGCAGGGACGAGTCCCCGAGCCCCAGGTCCGGCCCCAGGTCCGGCGCCGAGTCCATGGCGCGCCCCGGCCGCGGCTTCCCCTCCGCGCCTCCGCGAGCTCCCCACTTGTGGGGCCCGCCGCGCGCTCCCTTCTTTATCTCCACCCCGCCGGGCCCGTCCCCACCCTCCTCACCTGCCCGTCCCCTCCCTCCCGGCGCCGCCCTGCCCTGCTCCCTGGCACCGGGTGAAGACTGGCCCGGGAGGCGCTCTCACAGTGGTCTCCTGTCGCCCGCGAGGGGATCCGCGAACTCTGTCGCCTCGCCCTGCCCGTCCGCGGTCCCAGCAGGGTTGAGGGCCCCAGGAAGCACGTGTAAGAATCCTTGAGGGGGCGCTGATCCAGTGCGCCTGGGCACCCGCGACCTGGCTGCTGGGGACTGAGCCATTCCCCAGCTCGGTGGACCCCGCCCGCCCAGCCAGCCACTTTGCCTGGCTCCCAGGTTCCAAGACGGGCTGGCCCTGGCTCTGACCCCAGCTCCGCCGCACCTCAGATCAAATTCCTGCCACCCCAGACAGCACATCATGGAAACCTGTGATGTCATTGCCATTTGGAAGAGGCCCAGGCCTGCAGGACCACAGTCCCGGGTAACCAGAAGCTGCAGGCAGGATAACGAAGGTGAACTGGGATCGCCTCTCTCAGGAGCTTCCGTCGAGGCCAGTGGGGAGTGCGTGATAACCCCGGGTGGAAAATGTTCCCTCCTTTCCTGCTTCAAACTCTCATACCCTATGCTCCACTGGTTCTTCTTTTGAAAATATGGGAAGTGTTAATTGTTCCCTTCCTGTGGGGAGCAACTGGGAGCAACTCGGACTAGACTGTTACTGGAATTAAGACTTATTCTATGCATCTGCTCTCCCACAATATGGCGCTGGGAGAGGAGGAAATAGCTTCTACACAGCTGCCTCCAGTTCAACCAATAAACAGCAGGACCTGCTCCTGATTGGAGGAGAGCAGCGTACTCGGCGTGTGGGTAGCAGAGTTGGGATTGGTGGAAGAGGACTATAAAGGAGGAGAGAGACGGCATGCACCAGGAACATCTAAGGGGAACACCTGAGCAGCCCCGGAGAGAGCCAGCCGGCGGTGTGCCGCTCCCCTGCGGAAGTGGGGAAAGCGGCAGGGGGAACCGCCCTTCCACGGAGGTGGAAGGGTTGGTAGCCAACCCGGGAAGAACCAGCAGCAAACCCGGGGAGGGCCGAGCAGACAAAAGAACAGCGCAGGGTCCTGTGTCGTTCCTCCACGAAGACGGGGAGCGACACCTTCCCATTTTGCTGGGGAGGTGACAGCACCGCGGAGCTCGGCACTGAGTCAGGAGATGCCCTGTGTCCTTCAGCTGCTCTGAAAGCCCCCCCACACTGAGTGCCTCGGGGCCATGCGAGTGACTGACCTGCAGTTCTGGAGGTGAGAGGTCCAAAATGGAGCTCACAGGGCCACAGACGAGGCGCTGGCAGAGCTGGGCTCCTTCTAGAGGCTCCAGGGAACACCTGCTTCCTTGTCTTTCAAAGCTTCTAGATGGAGTCTGCCTGCATTTGAGAGGGTCAGAATAAGATCATAGAACTGTCCGAGGTAGGGAAAGGCTCTCACAGTGTGGGGCTCGTGGGTATGTCTTCCTCTTTGGAGTCTTCCAGAATAGCAGGGAGATGGGAAGAGGTGGGTGTCAGGGCGTGTGATTGCCACCTTCTAGGGACCCCACCTTGGTTGTCTTGATGGGAAGAATGGGGGGGCTTATAGGGAGAGTCAGTTGGGAGTCTGTGATTATAGGTTGAAGCCCTTGTAAGGCTTGTGGGTTGGGGGATGTTGAGGTTGGTTGGGGAATTAGGAAGGGTTTTTGAAGGCTATCCTTATGGGGGTGTTGTGAAGGGCAATCAAAGGGTATCAGCTGTCCCAAACGAGGGGTCTACTTGGCTGGAAAGGACATGGTCTACTTGGAAGTCATGAGAGGTCTGAGGTCTCGAGAATGGGGCTTAGTAACAGGAGAGCAGGTAGAAGGTCTGAGGGTTGTAGGGTGATGGTAGAGCGTAGCTTAGTCAGTATGTCCCACCCAAGGAGTGCAGCTGGACAGGCCGGTAAGATTAGGAAGCTGTGAGTGCAGACGGCTGGTCCTTTTGAGTAAATAAGAGGTTGAATCATGAGTGGCAGTGAAATTTGGCCACTGAACCTCATAACAGAGAGGAAAGGGCCAACGATCCGCATGTTCCCATAAGACCAAATAGGTTGCACTCATGTCCAAGAGGGATAGCTTACCTGCTATTGTGAGAGAAACCCTGGGGTCTGCACTACTGAGGGCAATGGTGGGGACCCTCAAACCTGTCAGTCTTTGGAGGGCAGGTTGGGGTTGGAAGAGGTGACCCCACCTCCAGAGAGACTTCAAGTGTCCCCTGTCCCCACCCACTGAGCATGGTCTCAACAGAGCTTGGGATTGGAGCAGGCTCTTGCTATGTCTATCTCCTTAGAACCTGCCTCTTGCTTAGTCTGCCATACTTGAAGCAAGGCTTGGGGGTGAAGGAGGGTGCCGGCCAGGGGGTTTTCCCTGGCTCCCTTGAAGTTCAGAAGCAAATAGCTGGTATCTAGATGGATCTTGTTGCAGTTATTTAATACTATGTCTACTACTCTCATAGAATGGCAGATGTCCTAAACAGCACTCCGGCCTCAGGATCAGCTCTTAAGGCACTTGGATCTGGCTAAAGAGCCCATGAGAGTATTTCAGGCATGGAAAGCCAAGACACTCTGGAAAAAAAAAAAAAACCTTATATGAAAGATCTCTGTGAGTGAGATCCCAGGAGAAAGAACAGGCCTTTCTCTGAAGGGAGGAGAGAACTTCCACTTTGACTATGACCTTGTCTAAATAAGATCAGAGTCAGTGAACTCAAAAGGCTTCCATAGCCTTGGCAACTCATGACAAGAGCCTAGGGTGATTACTGACGCCATAAACAAGAGTGTCAACTGTTAAATCAACAACAGGAGTCACTGTGCACTTACTCCTCATGTGGGATCTCTGTCCTTAATGTGTTGTCCAATGTGAATTAATGCTATAACTAGTACTGAAACAGTATTTTACACTTTATGTTCTGTATGGGTGCAAACTGATGAAATCTTTACTTATTATATGCTAAATTGATCTTCTGTATATAAAGATAATTGAAAATGAATCTTGATGTGAATGGAATGGGAGGGGGAGCGGGAGATGGGAGGGTTGCGGGTGAGAGGGAAGTTATGGGGGGGGAGCCATTGTAATCCATAAGCTGTACTTTGGAAATTCATATTCATTAAATAAAAGCTAAAAAATACTATGTCTACTGCTAAAGACCTTAAAGGCAGATTTCATGAGATCTGTGAGCCGTTTCTGATTTTTGGAGCTTTTTTCAGATGTCTGTGATGTCTGGGAAGTAAGCTGCGTGTGCAGGCGGGGTCTCCCCGCCGTCGACTCTGGGTCAGAGTTGGTACATCTGAGGAGGTGTGATCAGCTCCTGAAAGCTGTGGGCTTTTCATCAAGTCTTTGAGTGACTTTTGCAATTTGATCAGAATTCCGTGTGGGTCATTAGGAGGAACTGTGTCCGTTTTAATAGGGTGTCGGCAAAGGTGGTGGCAGCAGCCCAGCTAGTGACTTCAGGTGTAGGAGAGGAAATGAGAGCATACACATCCTGTTCAGTGAGGAGTGGCTAAGGTATAAGAATGTCTTGGTGTCCTGGAGGGATCCGTGGTGTAGGGAACCAGGTGGTTTTTTGTTTTAATTTGAGCCAAGTTGGAAAGAGAGAAAGGGAATGGGCATGGACAATGCTCTCAGCATCCACCCTTCCTGGAGAGACAAGATAGGGATGGGTGGCAGGGTGTGAGCAGCTAGGGGCGGCTGCTGGGAGAATGAACAAGTAGTAGGCAGGAGAATGGCGGAGGTGTGTGGGGGGTGGCTAGGGGGGTTGTGAGCAAGGGTGGGAGTGCAGTGGTGCAGGCAGCCAGCTCCCTGACTCGGTGTAGATCCGGCCCTGGTCAGACACTGAGGATGGGGGAGAGAGCGTAGGTTTTGTTACACCCCATCCTCTCGCAAGCAGTGTAAAGCCATAGGATGGGTCCACTCTGGACTATGTCCCATTGATCCTGGAGCACGGACCATCAGATCTGTACATGAGCACAAGCTAAGTCTGGCCTCATTTTATAAACTTACAGTGTATTTCATGCCATCTAGATGAACTCAGTTACTATCTCTCCCAATCAAGAACCTCATCTTTTGAGAGTTCCAGGGATCCAGCTGAAAGCCCCAAGGTCAAAGATTCAGTTTAGAACTTTCTAAAGAATTGTCAGAGGCTCAAACCATTTGGTCAAAGTAAAAGTAAAGCTAATAGCTTTGGGACTCAGTTTTTCCAAGTAATTGGGACTCAGTGAAGAGAACAGAAAACTGCATGAAACTTTCCCCCAAGATGCGCATAACTTCTGTTGCTGAGTCAGTTACAAAAACAGAAAACCCTCATTTAGCACATGACATCAGCACATGATTTTATGAACACGTCATGCAGCAAAGAGGTATGGAATCAGACAATTTTGGGTTTTTTGAGGATTTTTTTGGAATTTTAAGATATAGGCGCTGACTTTAAAATAATTTTTAAATCTTATCTATCCTAATCTCTTGCAGCATTTAACATTCACAAACCTTTTTTTTTTTGAAGATTTATTTATTTATTTGAAAGGCAGAGTTACACAGAGAGAGAGGGAAAGGTAGAGAGAAGGAAAGCCAGAGAGAGAGAGAGAGAGAGAGAGAGAGAGGTCTTCCATTGGCTTGTTAACTCCCCAGTTGGCCACAAAGGCCAGAACTGCGCTGATCCGAAGCCAGGAGCCAGGAGCTTCTTCCAGGTCTCCCACGTGGGTGCAGGGGCCCAAGCACTTGGGCCATCTTCTACTGCTTTCCCAGGCCATAGCAGAGAGCTGGATCAGAGCAGGAGCAGTCAGGACTTAAATCCACACCCATATGAGATGCTGGCACTGCAGGTGGTGGTTTTATCCACTATGCCACAGCACCAGCCCCACACAAACCTTTTACAATATGCTTATCCTCTCATTTTTTTTTTT